AGATTTTAGTGTTGTTTCAATACTTTTTCATTAAACAACTATTTTCAAGGTATTCCAAATACTTTTGAAACCTCTAAAATAACGTGGTTTTAATATTATTATATACTACCGTTTAATGTAGAAATTCTTTACGGTAACAAAACCTAAGAATTTTCAGTACACAAATGAATTCACAGTGTACCTTTATTGTTACTACTGACGCCAGGGGGAAACCCCTCTGCACTCTTCACTGCCGTCACCCTCCAAGTAGATATGTAGGAAGGCTTCAGATTGGAGCAGCTGTGTGTGCTCTATAACTGTAAAAACACGCTCGCCCACTTCCTCAAGAGCCGGCGTTTTGACCAAGGCGTCGTTTTGTTTGGTTTCTGTTTCGTTTATATTACCCCCATCCGATTCGAGGTGATCGCCAGATCTCCGGATCTGGATCTGGATCTGGACCTGTCTCGGTGTGGGAGACTCCCCCGTGTGAGTGTTAATTTTTAATTGTGCTAAATGTGCACATAAATACACAATAGCCGTTTGCAACAGCAATCGCACAACACACACAACTCGCAATCCGCAATTTTCAATTTCAACACCCACCCATAATTTGGCTTATTTGTGGCTTTTACTCTGCTTGCTTTTTTTCTCCCCTTCCACCAAATGTTTTTTATATTTTTTTTTTGTGTTACTTTGTATTATTGTCGCTGGCATTGGGAGACAACAGCTGTCATTGTATCGGTGTTTGTGCATGACTTAATAGCTGATAAATAATATATGGTAGGTCACACTGAGATATATATCTCCAAGTATTTGATACTTTGCACAGAATGCATTTGTCCAGTGGCCATTAGAGTGGCAGGGAGTCTTATCTTAGACTCATAATTGTATTTTTTATATATTGATTTTATCGTGAGCAAGGCAGGTCATATAAGAAATGTCAATAAATAAAATTGCACAAACATATATAAATATTTGATAAATCAATACAGGCAAATATTTAATAATTGTGTAATTCTTAAATGCTCTTCAAACTTACTCACTTAAATATGATTTTATTACAATTATTGGAATTCAAATTTCTCCATTAAATGCTTATATACACATCCATGATGATCGAGCAATAAAATTCATAAAATGTTTAGGCTTTAAAGGCATTTAAGAGATATTATAAACAATCTGAAGCTGTGGAGAATTGACCTTATGATTTATCATTTGGTTTTCTTCACTATTCTCGGATGATTTTTCAGCTCAAGTGATTTATTTCGCACACGAGCAATAAATATTAAAAATGTTTTAAGTTTATAATTCGGTTTTGGTCTTGTTTTTTGTTTTTCCTGGTGGGCCTACCTCAAGACAAAAATATAATTCTTTTGATGTTTATGTTTAGCATTTACTAAATGTGGCCATTTCCCCTAAGAACAATATTTTAAATGATTAATTCATAATTCTTATTGCAAAGGAACAACGTATGGTATGAGTAATACTTCTTTTAGATTACGTTTTCATTGGAAGTAGGGATTTATTTAACAAATTTATTTCTCAGATTCAGATTCAGATTTATAGTTTATTCCCAGAATCTTTATATATTTTCTATATTTATTACGAACAAATATTTAAATTGTATTATTCAATTTCCCTACCTTAAGGCTAAAATCTATGCCTTTTGATTTTGAACGTTTTCAATCATTTATAATTCATAAACTTCTTCTCATAGACAACGGGTCGTATGAGTAATATGCCTTTCTTATTTAATATTCATTGGAAGTTTAGATTTATTTCCCGCTCTCTGCACGCAAGCGTTCCAATTTGCAGTTATACATATTTTATTAATCTTTTCACAATAAACATTTTGGCGCAGCCATATTTCTCCAGACTCGGAAAGTGGGTAAGAGAAGGAGCAGAAGGTGGCACCCAATTTGGCAACCACGACTGTATGTGGCATGTGGCAAGTCTCCGTGTTCTTTTATTCTCTCGCCTGCAAATGCGGTTGCCGTTGCTTCTGCTGTTTATATGTATGTGGAAGATGGTAGATGGAAGACTGAAGATGCTGGCTCATGATTCTGCGAATGGCGTGAACTTTTCCCCCGCCCCAGAGTTTTCCACACTCGCATCCCGCTGCGATTTTAGATTGCCCCAGTCCAAGCGTATGTTTGTGTTAACAGTGAAAAGTATTTGCTCATAGGAACACGTTCAGTTTATTGTTGTTTCTTTTGTTTTTTTGTGGTTTCAACAATTGAATAAAATATTGGAGAGGAAAGGTGGGAGATAAAGAAAATATTGGTACACTTTATTTAATTTCTTCTGATTAGTATTCCCGTTGTCTCTGATTGGTTAAGCATAAATCTTATGCTAAAATTATTTATTTTGTGGAATAAAATAATAGAGTGGGAAGTAAAGAAAATATTAAGAGACTTTAGGAAATAATAAGGAAGGTGTGAATTTAGATAAGTAAAACATAAAATTGATTGTTTTTTTAGTTTAAAAATCACAGTTTATTTAATTTATTTACTTAAATTTATTTATAGATTAAACAATGATTGCTATCCCAAAAAATAAAAATGTATTTAAGCCTTTAAAAACAGATTTTAAATACAGATTTATATGATTAAACTACAAATGAATAAGGCAAATTTAAAGTTTATAATAAATATTTTATTTAAATATGTTTTAATCTGATGACAAACAACAAAAGAGGTTTCAGAAAATATTAAATAATAATTATCTAAACCTCTTTGCATGTAGCTTAATGTTCATTTAAGCTTAAACATTAAATAAACCCCAAAATTCGTAAATTAAATTCGCTTTGGCCTCAAAATAATTGCATTAGACTCAAATAATTTTGCCATAAATTTAATAAATCGCATTATAATGATACCAACAAGCCGATGAATATAAAATTTATCAGTTTAAAGCCGCAGTCGTGTGTGCACAATACAAAAAGCTATTAGTGTGTGGACTTAACTCGACTGTCAGGTTTCTGGTTCATTGCCTGCTTTTAGGCAGCAGCTGCACAGTGCCATGAATTAAGCCCGAAAGTAGGCAATTGTGTAACCGAAAACCTGAAATTGGAAAAGATTAAATTCGGGAGAGAAAAAAAGGGAACACCACCAAAACAGAAACAAAGGCAGAAACAAACAACTGATTTACGAGCCAACTGGGATTGCTCAACTGCAGTTGGCTCGTGTACTTAATTTGCCAGTGTTTTGGGAATGTATTTGAGCACATGTGTGCCGCCATTAAGTGTTTAAAATATGCATGCTTTAATTGTCAGCCAGCTGCCTCTGCCTGCATTCGATTTTAAACTTGACTTAACTCGTACCCAACAGTGGGTGAGCACTCGAATTTCACAGATACTGCGATACAATCTATAATGACTGGCATTAAACGCTCGTCAGCCGCGGAATCGGAAGCGAAACAAATCAAAAGTGCCACTAAAAAGCGTCAAAAAATATGGTAAAAAAAACCCCTGCAGCTCTCTGAAACAAAGACACTTCGTCTTCGTCATCGAATGCGCGTTTGATCAGCTCCGTCGAATCAAATCTGATCGCGGAATGCTCAGCAAACAAAGCGGCGTCCAAACACCTGAGTTCAGGTGTTGTTGCCTTTTGTTGCCTCTATTTTCTATTGTCAACCCCACGACACCCGGTAGTAGGTAAAATCACAAAAAAGTGGGGCGTATAAGGCAACAATGTACTATAGAGTTTGCTTCAGGATGTATTGAAAAGTGATTAAGTTCCTTATAAGCTGGTAATTCCATACAAGGCGACTTTCCATATTTATATTCTTCCTGAAGAATTCATGTTTTATGATGGCTACGAAAGTTTGATGACTTTTATGGAACATTATTAAGTTATTAACCATTCATATTGTATATAAATGATTTAATGTTGTCTAATGAATATTATGGTGAATTATTAAGCTAATATAACTATTTACTTATTCTTTAGCATCTTTGTATATATATTTTTAAAAATGTACAGATCTTTTTAACATTTAATAATACGAAGAGCAAAGAATTTTCATTCCTTTTATTAACAATAATTTTAAAAATTGTCTAAGAATGAAATATACTTATTAAATTTATAAATTTTCCGGAGCTAGATTTGCAATATTGTATAAACTTTTTAAAAGTGAAATATTTACTAAACATTCTTGACTTATCAAATAAAATTAGCAAAGTTTGCTTATATTTTGCACTACATTTATTCCAAGAATTTGCAGAGTTATCCCATATAAACTTTTAACACTTTAGTTCCAATTGATGCTGATAGGTGGTATAAGCTATGGCAAGTTATGAGTTATAGAACTTTAACTTAATAGTGCCAATTTTTAATAAGTAATACTTTGTTATATAATTATTTTATATCTTAACTTATAGAGCTCTTTGTTACTTAGAACTAGGAGCCAGTAAACCTTTTTCATTTATAGAAATTCCTCTCATACCCCTTACTTAATTATATAATGGGTATCTCCTGATCGAATCCTATAGTTTTCGAGGTGTTCTATTAATTGCTGTGATGCTTTGCATGCGCGGTGTAAACGCTAATGCGTTAAATGAGCTGTTGATGCCCGCTCGCGATGGCTAATTAGAGCGATTTCCGATGCATAAATTACAAAATCTACCGTTTCCCAAAGTCTGTCTCGCTGGCTGACTGGCTGGCTGGCTGGAAAAAAGGGTTAATTTACATAATACCCAGGCAAGCGCCCACGCCGTCAGCTGGTGAACACAACGGACTCACTCGCATGGCACTCGTAATACATAATACAAAGCGGCTCAAAGCGCGTGGAACACGATGATGAAGTTAATACGCTAAATTGGTCAAAACAAACGAATCGAGCAAAGTCGAATGTCGACGAAGCAGCCAGCAGGAGAGAAAGACGGCAACAGCTTTGGCGAAAGAGACAGGCACAAGGGGAGAGAGAGAGAGATAGAGACAGACACAGAGAGAGAAATTCAGGCAGAAATTCTAGTGATCCGCGAAATAACTGAAGTTGGACGCTCAGTTGCTCAGCGGCAGTTGACAGCGTCGGTTCGTGGCTCGTTCGTGGATCGTGTATTTGGCCCAAGGTTAATTAGCCAAGATCCGAGATTGGAGCTTGGGAGCTGCTCGATCCGAGATCTGAGATCTGAGTTCCGAGAGAGCGAAGATCACCAAAGATAGCAATCTATGAGATGTCGTTTTTCCGTAACATACGCTCCTCCCTGTCGTCATCGTCACGGGCCAAGAGCTCGCGCTCCTCCTCCCGCGACACGACACCCGTTCGCTCCGTATCCCGGCCCGGCAGCGTGATCAGTGCCCTTAGCCATCGCAGGGACTCCACCACCAGCTCCACTCTGCAAAGGGGCGACACCTTTATCCTGCCCAACTCCGAGGAGGAGGAAACAGCAGGAGGAGCCGCTTCAAACACTTCAACCTTAGAGAAAAAGTCCAAAAAGTCCAAGGTCTTTAGCAAGTTTAGCACTTTTACAAAGCGCAAAAAGACCCCCTCGCCGGAGGAAGTGGCCAGCTATGAGCATCATCCCAGCGACACCGCCACCAACACGTACTACAAGTGGCGCAGCGATGGAGCGGATCGCCTGCAGGACTACGATGCCCAGGCGGATCCCTTCAACTTCCTGTACGAACAGCACTCCAGTCTGCGCAATCTGCAATCCGGGGACAACAATGGCGTCCATCGGCAGGCCAGCATTGGCTCCAATTCCAGTGGGAGCTTTGATTCCTCCACCTACCGGAAGAGCAAGACGCCCACGCATTTGCGGGAGCAGCTGGAGCAGCTGAAAACCCACTCGAACGATGATCTGCTTGAGGATCAGCAGCGGGAGGAGGACGAGCGGGAGAAGTACAAGACAGTGACGCTGAATAGCTTCAGGAAGTCCTTCCGCGATCGCCTGCTGCAGCAGCAGAAGGAAACGCCGCACAATCCCGCCTGGTTTGTGGAAGTTCCCGCCGCCCAGCAGTCCACCGCCAAGACCTCGGAACGCCGCGAATCCAAGGAGAATCGCCCGGATTTCCTGGTCTTCGACAATCAGAACTACCGGCCCCAGTCGCGCTCCCCTCTCCGGGATCGCCCATCGCGCTCCGCCACCCGCTCGCCAGTGAAACGGAACGAAACCTTCCGTGTGGCCCAGCCCTCGATGCGTCACATCTCTCCGTCTCCGACTCCTAATCTAGTGCCGCCTGCTCCCTCCATCCGCATCGAGATCAAGAACTCTATATCGCCGCACTCTCCAGGCAGATTTGTGCCCGTGGGCGTGGCCAAGCCCATGCCCACCACGGAGTACTATGCCCAAAGATTGCTGGCAGCCAATCATCACCAGCAACAGCATCACCAGACCCAGCAGCAGAGACCCGGTTTGGGAGTAAGGAGCACCAGTCCCAGTCAGAGCTCCCGTTGGTACCGCCAGCAGCCTTCTCCCAATAGGTTGGGTCATCAGCTGCAGAATCCCCCGCAGCAGAAGGGCGGCCGCACCCTGGTGCACATAGGATCCGATCAAAGCAAGGCCATGATGCCGCCTCCAGCCCGAGGAAGGGCGCCTACGCGCGTTCAGCTGTACGGGAACAAGCCGCAGAGTCGCCCCCCGCCGGCGACCTACTTCGGGGGCCACTACAATGCACCTGCCAAGTCAGCCGTTCCTCCCAGAGGATCGTCCGTTGGAGGCCATACAGTATATTTGGGGCGTCGCGAACCGCCGATGACACGTGCCACCAATAGCACCAGCACCAGCAGCGCCGCCCACGTTGCCGCCCCCATGCCGCGTCGCAACCGATCGCCGATCAAGATGCCCTGGCGGTAGGCGTCAACCCGGCCAATCTACACAACGGAGAATGGAGAATCAAGAATGAGTGGCTCGCACATATACGGCTATATATATATACATATGTGATAGCTTCTTTCCAAAGTGACAAAGTCGCCGCCTGATATTGCGTCATGATCGGAGAGCTGGAGCTGCGCTGGGAAACGCAGCTTGGCAAACGAATCCATAATGTGCAAATAAATGATTTATGTATCCATCAGTCCCCCATACAGTCCCGTATCGTGTGTTGTGAATTTTTTGTACGTCAAAATTATTGTTAAGTAAATAAATAAAAAAAAAAAAGCAAAACAAATAAACGACAACAGATAATTCAAAATGTACGCTATCCCCACGGGGTTTTTTTTTCATTCGTTGATGGCTCCAGCGAACCCGAAAAAGCACTCGGATTTTGTCAGTACAGAATTGTTGTTAAGTGTTAATTGCCAGTTTGGAGTTGGCCCCAAAAAGATGGCTCTGCCCTGGAACCTACGACGAGTACATGGGTACATGTGTGCTCTATAAAAAAATGTAGTTAGTTCAACGGATATATGAGCGTATGTATCGCCTGGTGCCGCTCTATGACTAACTGTGCATGAAAATGAGTGAGCGTTACGTGACAAGCATTAAATATGGTCAACCCGATTGGGCCCGGTGCGGAGAGGGTGCGGGCCATTTCTAGTTAGAAAGCAGCTGATGAGCTTCTGGCCGTATTTGGCGCTGCAAAAGATGTATTTGTACTCGCGCAAACAAATTATGGAATAAATTGTCTTAACCCCCAAGTCAAAATCCCCAAAGGCACTGGGTGATGTCAGCAGCCGGCGCTCTATGCGCTTCTCAAGATGTTTACATAAGGGGTGCATCAAGGGGAAAGAGAGGGTCTTGTCTCACGATAGTCCATAAATGAATATCCTTCTATAAATGAGTCTATTTGAAGAATATTTTATAAATAATCTTATGGGTACCGCCGTCCATATTCTATAAATAAATTTCCTTCTATAAATTAAAATCCTTTAAATGAATCTATAGATGAAATCTTTCTATAAATGACTTTGTTTAAAGAAGAATTATTTATAATCTCCTTATTTGTATCACAGACCTATTGCCAAAGATTATAAATAATAGCTAAGATTGCAGCAGTCGTTGGGTGATGTCAGTCGCCTTTCTATGCGCTTCTCAAGATGTTTACTTAAGAGGTGCATCTATAGGGGAGGGAACTGTCTCACAATATTCCTTTTATAAATAAATCTGTTTAAGTAAGAATTATTTATAATCTCCTTATTTGTATCATAGATTTTGTGCCAAAGGTTCTAAATATAGATTGTCATGATGACTAGAGGTTCTGCTTGCTGGTCATTAAGCTAATAATATCCGCTCACAATAAATTTAATTAAATTAAATACGTAGTTTCGGTTTAATTAAAAAATAATAAAGAGTCGTTATAAATGATAGGTTTAAGTTCTTTTGCATAAAAGAAGAACTTGTTAATAAGCTTTAATTAAATTAATACCGGAGGAAAAGTAATATAAGACACTTCCTCGCACTTAACAAGATATATTAAATATATTTGCCCTATCTCTAGTTAGAAAGCTTTTTAAAATAGTTGTCATTGACTTATTAAGATTAATAACAAATTAATTCACATATAAATAGTTTATCTTGTATTTAAGCTTTGGAAATTTCTATATTTTTTCTATTTTTCTTGTTTTTGATGTTAAAATACGGCTCCGACTCTGATTTCGCTGCCCGCATCCGTCTCTTGGCTGTCCGCTAATTAGTGGATCATTGCCCCAGTCTAACTCCAGCTCAACTCTCCGCACATTTCACTTTCTAATCTGGGCAGCAACGAGGTCGACTAAGTCGTCTCTGTCTCTGGCTAAAAGACACAAGATCCAAATTACTTCTTTAGTCACACTGAAAACTCTGAAAATGGTCAGTGCAACCTGAGTTTTTAGCTCGAGCCTCTCTACGCATGATCTTGAACTACATTCAAGCCGAGATCAGTCGACGCACTTCTGTCTGCTTGGGGTTTCTATTGCGTTAATGTTAACTAGAGTGTGAAAAAAATAAGACAACTTGGCTTGCAATGTAAGCTAAAACGCAGATTAACCTTGCCTGTATGGCTGGGACTGTGGATCTTGGCGTGATTTTTGCGTGGGTCTGGTCTACAAAACAGGTTAAAATCCGACTTTGAATCATCATCATCATCGCCTGTAAATAGCGGCGAGCTAATTTGCGATCATTAGGTCGGAGATTCCCTCGGCTCATTCCCCAAAAACTCCAGTTTTTCCGTCTCTGCATTTGTTAATTTGCTTTGTATGTTCGGAGTACTTAAACTTAAGTGTGTCGGATTTTTCGGGGTCTCTGGCTCTCTCCCTCTTTTTGTTTTTGGGTTGAGTTTTGCAATAAACAAACACTTACTGTGTTCTGCTTGCGCTTTATAAGATATACTATATATATTCGAGAGTGTTTTTTTTTATACTACGCATAGATACGTTTCCAAGTAACTGAAGACCGGTTTCTTGACTGTATGTATTTTTTTCTTTCTGTTTTTGCCGCCAACGAAGACGACGACCTACGAATTTTAATACCCTTTACTGATGGGTTTGGGTAAGGGGCTTAGGCCATAAAAATGTGATAAGTGGGAAAAACCTTGATTAGCAGGAATTTTTAGTAAAATTTAATAACTTTTAAATGTGTTTGTTATGCATTTTTAGTATGGTTTGGAATATAATCTAAGACTTAAAAGGAAATATAATAATAAATATAGTTATATATAAATGAAACATTTTTTTCTATATTTAAAAGCTATATTATTATATTCTAAAATTAATGATAAAATAGGTTGTGCTACCGGTCGTATGCGTGATTTAATTTATTATGCTGAACCGCTTATTTTTTAAGGGGAAAACAATTTTGTAAAATTAAATAATATATGTTCAAGAGGTTTATTTTATACATTATAATTTTTAAATTTTTAAATATTTATATTTAATAAGAATTGCCTACACGGCGTATGAGTGATGCACCTTATCTAACTTTTTTTAAATAGTTAAAATAAAAATGATCTTAATCAAAAATTCTTTTCTATAGTACACATTTTCTTAAAAGACAAAATGGGTATTCCCTAGTCGATCATTCAGCCACTTTACTCCCATTTTACTGCAGACAAACAGTCAACAGCCGGTGGCATAGCGTCATTGTTCGAAAATGTAGTGGCTAAACGAACTTTGATTCCGATTTGTATGTATATTTTTCGATATATTTTACCAAACACTCTGCTAGGCTGTGCCAGAATTTCAGAGACGAGAGTGGGAGTCCCGGGCAGTGAGTGGGCTTGGACCGAGCCCCAAGCTGAGCTGGACTGGTCTCCATTAGTGCCCCGATTTGTATGTGCTAAACTTTACAAGACCGCGAGCCAAAAGTCGACATGCCAAAAATGGTAATTGCAGCATAAGTTTACACATACTTGTGTCGCGAAACGAATTCTCAGCTCATGTTTATTTATATTAGAGATTATGAAAATTAAAACGGAATTGGTTCACAGCAGAACTGAGACAGTGACATCATGGGGACCCGTACTTCGGGAGGAGGCTTACAAATGGGTTGATAATCCATGCATTAGATTAAATCCGATTGGATGAAATGTGTTTAATATCAAATTACGGCTATTACATGCTGTGAAACTTTCGCCTTTCATCCAACCATCGAAGGATTTATTGACACAGCCATTTGTTTAATTGGAGGCCCATTAATCTGGGCCAAAAGAACCGGAGGAACCGTCAAAGTCAAAGCGGAAGACAAAGCGGCGACCCGCTTAAGTGGAAATCAAACATTTGCCCCACAGCCCCGCCAAGTTGCAACTTAATGCCAATAATATCCGCGCGTCAGGCGCAAATGTTTGCCCTGTCTGTCTGTCTCCGCGTCCTCATCCTCATCCTCGTCCTCGTCCTCGTCCTCGTCCTTATCCCCTGACCTCGGCTTGCTGATCCCTGCGCTGTGTACCCTGTTCCCTGTTACTCGGCATTGTCATTGTCTCGCTGCCATTTTATTCCGCCGCCTTTCAACTGGGTCAGCATCGATTTTTGGCCAGCGACGTGTCACAATTATCGCTGCCAGCGATGGATTCGATGGCACCCAAATGGCTGCCATCCACAAAAAAAAATAGGAACAAACGATGCACTCCAGTCACCCGAACTAAGGTTACTTGGTACTCACTGAGGTGTAACAAAAAAATCAAATACCTAAGCTATTTAAGCTTAAAGAGATTTCAAATCTATTAAAGTGGTGCTTAAAAGTAGGCTTTAAAACGTGCAGTTTGGCTATAGCGGGAATAGTTGAAGGCTTTTGGGGAATTTAAGGTCTATGTTGTGCCATATTTCTTAGAGAAATAAGTGGCATACATTTATAAACTACAAATAGTAAGCAGATATGTTTTTAAATTTAAAAATTAGTCAGTAAAGAACTCTATAAATTATATAAACAAATAACTCTTCTTTAAATTCCTTTTTAAAAATTAGTTTTATAGTTTATGGTATTCTTGTTGTCTTTTGTACAGTTTTATGGCTTAAAGTTTCTGGTTGTCCCCGAAAATTTCGAACTTTACATGCAAGCTCAGCTATTTAACTTAATAAACAATTGTTTAAAATTGTATAAGGTCATTACATATATAGTATTAACCCCCAAAAAAACAATATACCCCTGAACTCCCCAAATACCTCGCACAACGAAAAATGAGCCCAGCCGAATGCACCGAGGGCAGCGCAGGACATCCTGAATATTAATGTCCCGGGTCAAAGCTATGAAAAGTCAAGTCTCGTGTTTATTGGCAAACGCTAAGGATTACATACAAGATACATATATACCGGGGCCGGCCGGAAAATAAAACCAAAACAAGTTTTACTGCAGTTCTCGAAACGCGGCACAAAGACAAAGGCAAGTTGGCCAAAAATGGAAGCGTGCCAAGTGCGATTTCTGTTTTGTTTTTGCTGTTTTTGGTTTGCTCTTGCCCAGCAGCGTGTATTTTTGGAACAAGTGCAACATCCACGGCGGCAACTGCAACTGCCACTGCCACTGCCACTGCTCTGCCACAACCATATCCATGTTGCTGCCCCTCCGTTTGAGCTTAACTTTTGGCATGCGGCATCGGTTTCTGCCTCCGTTTCCTTTTGGCCAACTGCAATTTCCCCCCGCATTTGCATCCCGGAGAGTGGAGAACGGAGTACGTAGTCCGTTGTCCGTTGTTCGGAGCCCGGTCCGGTAATTTCAGATATGGCTAGCCGTACATGGAATTGTTTGGCGCAATGGCGCGTAAATGAGCAGGGCGCAAATTAAGTTGTAGTAT